GGGCAGCAGTGCTACATATGTTGGTGAAACGTCTGACCTTTCTAGTACCCGTTTTTTGTGTTTTTATTTAAAGGAAAATGGAAATTTTTTTTTAAAACCAGAAGCTTGATCATAACTATTCCTACCAACTAATGAAGTGAATAAAAACCAGAGATGCTCAACTTTCTGTGTATTTTTCATTAGAAACAGACCAACATTGATATGAACATCTTTTAAAATAAGCAGCATTGCCATTAAAAACCTGTACCAGGCAATCTTTAGGTGAGTTTTTCTAGGGTTATTTTTTATTCCTTAAAATACATTTTGTGTGCTGGTATTAAAATCCATTAAAATTAATTTAAAAAGTTACTGAGTATTGAATATTTTCCTGGATATCAATATTGAATTTGAGATTTTGGTATCGTGACAACCCTAAATAAAATTTTTCACAATAAGAGGCAGATTTTCCTTTTTTAATCTCCCGTCTGTAAAAACCTGCACAGTGTTTCTAAATATAAGGTGCTTGATTTGGTTCTTGCAAAATCAGTCTGTTGTTTTCTAGTAGGCATGTGCACAGTCCAAAGAAAAATTCAATTTAAGTTCAGTTTATTTCTATAGTGCCAATTCACAACACATGTATTCTCAAGGCACTTTACAGTTCACCAGATCATACAGTCAAATTGATTGAAGTTTTCTATCTAAGGATAACCAGTTGATTGCATTGACTCGAATGCAATCCCTCACACTAAGCATGCTTCTAACGACAGTGGAGAGGAAAAACTCCCTTTTAACAGGAAGAATCCTCCAGCAGAACCAGGCTCAGTGTGAGAAAAAAGACAACAATATGAAGTTATCTTGTCCTTTCCAGCATTAATCAGGCATAAAACCAACACTCTAAGCTGCAGCGTATTTTATGCAGAGTTCAGCCCATTTAAGTTTGAAATTCACCAAATAAATCCAATGTTTCTGCTTAATATCGTTTCAACTTTAAAGTCCAACAGTTATCTGAGGTTAAAATCAGATGATAGAGCATTTTTAATGTAGTAATGTGTTGTTGTTTTTTTTTATCTTTATAGCTCCCTTAATTATTAGTACACTTTTAAAAAGACCATTGAAATTCTTAAAATAAATCTGATTATGTTACGTGGTCTTAATTTGAAACTAAATATTAGATTTAGTTGAAAACATCAGCTTGCAAAAGTTTGGATTTTGCTTTTCTCAGATGCAGACCTTGCTGGCAGTTCTATAAAATCCTACATTGTGACATTAAAAGAAGCTTTCCTTACCTGATGAAAGTTATCAAATTATATGATCGTATATTATATGATCTTCTGGCTCATATCTACTTTGCATAACCAGAATTAAAACTTTGCGAAGAAATAGCGTTTGGTTCTTATTTTACAATTATCTGGAATAAACGCCCGGAAAATTGTACTGAAACCCTCAGTTGGTGTATTTCCAGATTTAAAAACTCCTATCTAAACTTTATTAGCTTAGTTTCCACTCTAACTTTTGTTCCATTCTTTTATCAGTTTATCATTTATAAAACTTTTTTTTATATATATAAGCATTTTATGTTAACATACCACTTTTATTCTCTTTAATTATTTGTGTTGCCTCTTCTTTTTCCCCCCCATGTGCAGCTTTGAATTGCCTTTCTACTAAAATGTTCTCTATAAATAAACTCTCCTTCCTGTTTGTTTTGTGATCTTTTTGTTTCTTTTCTGTATGAATATATGACAGAGAGGCCTGTTTGTCCTTATTTTTCATTTGAAACAAAAAGCAGCCCTTTTCTTTTTTGGATGAATCGATGGATGATATAGCAATTGATAATTGTAAAGTAGGATGTGTGATGCTGTGGGCCTGAAGCTGCTTACAAAGCTTTACACTTAGAAATCTGCTCATTGCAAGTGGAAATTTGCTGGATTCTTCCAGAAAGCTTAAAGAGGGTCATGATTGGGTCTTTAAATTGTGTCACAGTGAAGCATCAAGATAAACTTCCCTTCAGTCACCTGATTTGCATCCTGTAGAGATGTACTTCATACTTTGCATCCTGTCTGCTCACTTCAGCCTCTTTGGGATGTTATCAGGGAAGGCTTGGCAGCAGTTTTGATTTTACTTCATGTCCACCTTAAGCTGTGACTGTTATTGTAGCTGACTGCTGATTGAATCAATCACAGTCGGTGAAGGCGAGTGTTTAAAAACTGATGTATTGTTTCTCCTCTTGTATCATTCGGCTGAACAGGCCTGAAAGTTGCTGAAAATGAGTCTCTGAACCTTTGAAGTGAATCGCTGATGCTACTGTCGGTGTAAAATGAGCTATAACCCATAAAACAACCTGTTTTCTATTTCTATTGAGATGAACAGGCTTTGATGTTAATTATATTTGTATTATAATAATAATTGAACTTTATTGATCTCACATTGGAGAAATTTACATCTGCATTTAACCCATCCCCTTGGGGAGCAGTGGGCTGCCATTGTGGGGCGCCCGGGGAGCATTGTGGGGTTAAGGGTCGTTTGCTCAGGAACCCAGAATGGCAGTCTGTGGCTCAAACCCAGAACCTCAGGATTCTAAGCTCTATGCCAAAACCACCAGTCTGCCACTCCCCCAGAATTTCTGTGATATATTTTAGATAATCTGGTGAGTGATTTGGTGAAATAGAAGAACACGGTGGGCGTTATCAATAAGAGCATATTAACAGAGGAACATGAACCCATATTGAGTCGGAGCCTCAGGGTTTATCCTGATTAGGCCTTTTCTTAGACCTCGACAGACGTTTCTCATAAATAAATTAAAACAAAATGAAGAGGGAAGACATCATGTGTTTCCTTAAGAAGGCTCCTAAAATCTCTTCTCATGTCCTTAAATTCCTCCACACTTTATCTTTATCATCTTAGTCCAGAATCAGCTTTATTTTCCGTTCAATGCACTTTTATGGTTTGTGGTTCCAATTTTCAGAAACGCCCTTGGGTCAGCAGAATGAACTGCTTCCAGCTATTTCAACAATGACTAACTCTTTATTTTCCTTTTCTTTGTTTTTGTTATCTCCTTCCTTTCTTCACAAAAATCACCTATTTTTCCTTCCTGCTGTTAAACTTTTGCCCTGTGATAAAGACAGTTTGTGACTCAGCAAGGATTCAGATCCCCTCAGGTTTCAGGGGCCTGAGAGATGGTAGTTTTATTTCCTGTGATTGAACATTGAGCTCTAGAGAGAAAATAACTGTTTTGGTGGGGGGCCTTTAAATTAGACATTCCAACCTCAGACTCTCCGCCGTCCATTTTTTTTTCTCCTTACACCAAACTATATGTTGTGCTCATTTGATGATTGGTCCCTTTTGCTGCTGCTGTCAGGCACTTTCAGTGTTTGATGCACAGCTCTTCCCATATTTACCAACATGGTAACAGGATGAAGGGGCAGAGGAAGCTAGAACTATCAGAAATAAACTGGTCAAGCATTTCCTGTACAGTTTTTTCTGTTTCATTCATAGATGTTTTAGTTTAATTAGTTGTAGTTGGAAGTATTTTTTGATCTCATGTTCTTGTTTAAATCTCAGTGTGTGCATTGTGATGCATGCTGCCTGCCTCCTTGATCACTAATCAGGACCAGTAAAGGGAAAATTGTCCGATGTTTTGCTGACTAGTTGGTCCACCGCTACGTATTCTACATGTTATGCCTGCAGCTAATGATTATTTTGCAAATTAATTAATCTGTCGATTATTTTTCCGTTTAATCGATTAACAATCAGATAGCCAAAGGTTTATTAAAGAAGTCTTTGCAAATTTTAAACAGGTGAAACTAAAACACTTGATATGGATACATATTGACAAAGGGAAAACGTATTTTTTTTCCTTTATCTTAAATGTGAAATGTTTACATATTTTTTTGTTTTGTTTTACAATTTGGGTATAATAAACTGCTCTAAGTAGGTTATAATATCAGCTGAAGGCGTGTTTAACAGTGTCTATACTCCAGTTAATAAATAATCGATTACTAAATTAGTTGATGATGATTTCACTAATGGATTAATCACAATTAATCCGATTGTTTCATCCCTACTACATGTTTTTGTAGTGTCATGTGAAGTAAATGTGTATTATTATGACTAGATTTAATGTTAAAACCTTAAAATAATATGAATTAGAAATGTCTGGACCATTTGAATTCACTAGGCTACAGCTTTTGATTATTATTTATTTTTTAACAGACTAAAGTCTGCTTCCAGAATTAGGTTGATGTTGAGTTCCCTTAAAGGAAACCTTTCTCCTAACTTGGAATCTGAACACTTAATTTATTCTTAATCCTAATTTATTCATTTCCAAATTTATTTCCACACTAAACAGACCATATTTTCTTCTGAAAAGATGGTCTGTTTCTTCTGATATTGTAACTCTATTGACAGCAGAAAACAGTCCTCCCAAGCAATACTTAAAACTAATTTACTCAGATTTAGATTTGACAGTTTAGGAACATTTCTCATTTATTTATTTAATGTAGCTTTATCAGTTAACTTTTTTGCTTAGATTTTACATAATTTTTCAATCATCTTATTCAATTCCATTTGAATTTATTACCAGTATTTCCCCGATATTTCAGAGTAGGTTCCCATTTTTTATTCCCTTTTTATTGACGGAAATATGTGGCAATTATTTCTTTATGTAGGAAGAATAAGTTAAAATGTTAAGGGCAGTAAAAACACCAATCAAAACAATAATATATAAGATTTTTTTTTGTTAAACATTTAAAACACCAATTCTGTCTCTCACTTGACTAAAAACCAGAAAGACTGCATGGTGGGGAATTTCTGATAAAGATGTGCCCTAAAAAATGAAAAAAATCTACCGAAGGAGAACAGATATCTTTTGAAGATGATCTCAAAGTTAACCATCTGATCTCTTTTGTACGTCACACTAACATGTTCACCTCTCATTCCTCCTGTTATGCTTTAATTTCCATCATCTATCATTTAGATCAATGACATTTTGTTCTGATTTTTAACGCCTTGCCTTTGTTTCACAGGCACATGGACTCCCTTCAACCCGGTGACGGTGCGATCCATCATCTGTAAGTAGCTGCTGACGGGGATGTACCCATCTTATACACAGCTGCCTTTTTTCAGACTGTTTCAGTTGTTTATCCGTCCCAGCGCCATGACGACAGAAAGGACACAAACAGACTTATCTGTTGTGCGCTTCATTGGGAACCTACAGCCACCAATAAAAGGAGCCAAAAGCAGCATCTGCAGTGAAGCAGGAATGCTGGATCTGACTCCAGATATCGATTCGTCAGAGTATAAAGCTCACGTTACAAACTTCTACCTCTGCAGTGTAATTTCAGACTTGACTGGTTACATTTAATGCACTGAAATTTTCTTTAGGTAACACACATTAACAATAAAACTTTTTTTTTATTAATTCTCTAGACTTTGGATCTCATGATGCATTGTAGCTTTAAGAGTAAATCCCTTTAATTCTCTTTTCGTCCTGTCAGCAGCAAGCGCAGTAAATCCAGTGTTTTATAGCTTTGCAGCGAGAAGCTCATCATGCGATAACACTCCCTTTGTTGGGAGGTAATTGGATTGATCCGCATGAGAGTGACAAAATGGAGTTTTGGTCCTAAGAGCAGTTTTATTTCTTAGCAATGTCTGAGGGACGAATAACTTTAAATAACTTTTTTTTATTTTTGTAAACTTATAATTGCAACCTTTATTTTTTAATGATGTCTCAGTGAGAGATTAACACTGAGAAACAAATCTATCGAAATTGTTAAATAAAATTTATAGAAGTGTGGCATACATCTCACTTCAGCCCCTTTACCTCTTTTTTTTATTTTTTATTATTATTTTTTTTTTTTTTTTTACCTATAGATAAAATCCGATATGATGCACCGATTACATTCTTCTGGCTTATCACAATCTTTAAAATCCTACTCTGCTGAATTTTTTTTTTTTCCCCCAATTAACCGACTCTGTCGGTTTCAATGTAATTTTATTGAAAAGCATTAAATGGAACCAATAAAACAATAAAAACCTGATTCAGCTGCACATGTTGTAGTACTCTTAGATATTATTGAAAAGTTAAAAGCCTTGATAGTTGCTGGTTTTTTTACATCTTAATGGATTATGTAAGATCAAATAGCCCTGGTGGCACCGTCTGCAGTCACCTACAATTTGGGAGAGGTGTAGCAGAGTGTCTGTGGAGGGGGCAGGGATGTCTTTGCGTTCACTGCGACACCCACCCAGACAACCTAGTTTCAAAGTATAGATCAGCCTTTAATTCCGTAAAAGTTTGAAAAAAATCCACTGGACTGGTTTCCAAAGTTTGAAGACGTTTTGCTTCCCCTCCAGGAAGCTTTCTGGCAGGGGAATTGAGAAAGCTTCCTGGAAGGGGAAGCGAAACGTCTTCAAACCTTGGAAACCAGTGCAGTGGATTGTTTTCAAACTTTTACGGAATGACTATGACCTGGATGACTGAGAATCTTCATCAGCATCAGCCTTTAATCCTTGATGCGGCCGACCGGGTTTGAATCCGAGCTGTGGTCCTTTACCGCATGCCTCCCCCCCCTCTCATACCCCCTTTCCTGTCAGTTTGCTGTCCAAAAAAGAGTCACTAGTGCTGCAAAAACAAAAAAAAAAACAAATCAAATGATGATGGTAGCTATGTTAAGGAGGTCATGCAGTCATTTTGTTTAGACCTAATGCAGCGAAGATACATTAAAAAGATGTAGAATAGGGGAAAAAAATCAGTTGGAAGCGATGATGTCGAGAGAGAGATATTAGAGATGTAAGATTTTTATTTTGGCAAAGAAAATGTCTGCCAAATTCCTTAAAGTTTGTGGTTGAAGAGTTGAAAAAAAATGAAGAAAAACCTCTAGTAACATGATTGTTGCATCTCTTCCCCCCCTCAGCCATGTTTGACAGGGAAAACAAAGGTGGCGTTAACTTCAACGAGTTCGCCGGTGTGTGGAAGTACATCACAGACTGGCAGAACATCTTCAGGACCTACGACAGGGACAACTCGGGCTTCATCGACAGGAACGAGCTCAAACAGGCGCTAACCGGATTCGGTGAGCAGAAAAGTATGCCTTTGTAGTTTTCTAATTGCTCAGCGGTGGTGAAGGGCTGCAGGCGCCGGACTCTCTGACCTGCTGTACGAGGAGCCAGGAGGAGGGTAACCCTTGGTTTAAACTTGCCACTTATTTGCATTTTTCCTTTTTTTTTTTTTTTACTTCCTACATTTTCTGTCAATCATTCACCCCTGAATTTAGGCGAAACAATAATCTTCAGATTAAGCGTTAGTGGCAAGTTTAAAAAAACAAAGAAACTTCTCTTATTTTCTGTACATTGCTTGTTTATGGGGTAAAAAAAAGGCAATGCTGCTTCAGCTGGTCTGCTTTGCAGAAATCCAGTTAAAATATTCCACTGTAAGAGTTTTTTTTTTAAATCCTCATCGTTAATCCTACGCATCTCAGGGTTCTTTGACATCCAGGCTGATCACCTGGACTGTATAACTTGTCCAATAAAAACTTGGAACTTGGAAACCTGGAAAAATTATGATTTTTTTCAAATGCAAACATTAAACAGTTGCCTATGAAGCATTATTAACGCTATACTCCTTGTGTGCAGGCTATCGTCTGTCAGACCAGTTCTACAGCACTCTGATAGAGAAGTTTGACCGGCAGAGGAAGGGACAGGTGGCCTTCGATGACTTCATCCAGTGTTGTATTGTATTACAGGTAAATGATCAGATAACGCAGCTTTATCATTGTGATGACATCACTCATATTCTGCTGATGATAAAAAGTTTTCAGTCCACTTTCAGCTGTCTGTAGTTTTGTATTTTGGACTGATGACAAAATTCATGGATAACAAAGTTTAATTTCAATTCATTTTCCATTTAGTTTGTATTTTATTACTGGATAAGCATAAGTTTCACCAATTAGAACACGAGGTATTCCGGTAAAGATGTTAAAAAAAGCATACATGTAAATTAGGTTCAAGTTGTTTCCTGTTTTATACAGAAATTCTGGTTCCACTGTTACAGAATGTCCTTTAAGATTTCTGAATTTTTAAATTCAATTTCTCAGAGTCTGTGAAACTATGAATTATCCACCTGTGCCCTTTGGTGTGAATATAACTGCAAACAGTGGCTTGTTTGTCTTGGAAATTGGAAAGACAAGAGAACGTGTCTGAAATGAAGGATGTGTTTTGTACTCCTCAAAGCAAAGTAGAGGACCCGTGATGCTGTGACTTGGACAGGAAATACCAGGGCTATTTAGATATGTGACAAAGATCTGCAATTAAAAGAAAAAAAAACAGAGAAATCCCCATATACAAATAGTCTAAACAAATATTTTGCTTTAAGAACTTTACAGAGTCCAGATCAGTGGTTTAAACCATAAGACTTAAGTTACAGCTCTCATTATGTTCCTCTGTTTAATATTCCAGTTTTTATGTATTTTTGATCAATAAAAATCTGATTGTAGCCGATTTCCTAACGCCGCTGTTGTGCCATTTCCTTAGAGGTTGACCGACGTCTTCAGGCGATACGACACGGACCAGGACGGCTGGATCCAAGTCTCTTATGAACAGTATCTTTCCATGGTCTTTAATGTGGTATAACGCACATGAAGGCCACAGAAGAGCACAACTGGACACAACTGTGCCAAAAGCTCCCGGTGCCCTCTGGATGTCTGCCATAGTGGACACTACAATATTTTTTTTAACCTGGTCTCAGCCCAATTTGGGCAATTTAATCTGAAGTCTTCAACCTAGAGAAAAAAAAAAATTAGGTGCTTGATGTATGGTAAAGAAAAAAATCTTGTAGTGTTTTGTTGATGAACTGTAAACAGGTCTGTTGGTTAAGGACAAATATGGCCACGTTAATGTCGACACTTTTTTTTGTTTTAAACTGAAGTGATTGAAGAACATAGTTCTGTTTAAATAAAATAATGCACTGTAAATATAATTTGCATGCTTTTCAGGGAAATTAAGCCCCATGTCGTAGCATGCTGTGCATTTTTTTTGTTCTGTTTTTATGTCCTCTGCCCTCTTTGCTCCAAGCCATGTTTACAAAAACTGTGAGAGCAGGTGACAATCTGCTTCGAGGTTCACTTACATGCCATATTTGTATAAACATATTCTTAACAGCACATATTTAAATGCTAAAAGATCATTTTTGGTAGAGGGTTCGCATAATATCTTTACTTTGGCTTTTTTTTCTGTGCATGATGCCTTAAAATGTACAAAAACCATAAAAATTAAAGAAATCTTTTGTTAAAAAAAAGGTCATCCAGTGTCTTTCTTACTAGATAGGACATGGATAGTGTAATGTATAGAAAATACTCAATAAGAAGCAAGCATCCTACAAAATTTGTAAGAAAATTAGAAGTTACAATATGTGTTATCTAGTTGCATGTTAACCAAGGGGTATTTTTGTTTCCTTTTGGTGGTATTTTAATTCCACAGCTGCAGTATGGGGCACATTTGCAGATTATAAAGGAAAGTATTTAAGTTAAAACGCCACGAGCAATATTCGTACAGCTTGGACTTGTCATATTTAGTCGAATTCTGTCAAAAATTGTTTTATTTAGATTTTATGTTTTATCCAAAAGCAAAATACTACCACCAGTAAAAGCAGGTACTGTTCATGTGCTACTTTATATTTCTCCATCAGTTAGTGTAAATTTAAATTGATATAACAATAATTAGAAGTTCAAGTGCTCTTGTTTATTTAAAACATAAACATAATTTAAAAGGTTTATTCTGGAATAATTGATGCTGCAACTGGGAATATTCTATCTGCTGGAGGTTTCTTCCTGTTAAAAGGGAGTTTTTCCTCTCCACTGTTGCTTCAAGCATGCTTAGTGTGAGGGATTGCATTCAAGTCAATGAGTCGATGCAATCAACTGGTTTTCCTTAGATAGAAAACTTTGAATCAATCTGACTGTATGATCTGGTGAACTGTAAAGTGCCTTGAGATGACTTGTATTGTGAATTGGCGCTATATAAATAAACTGAATTATATTGAATTTAAGATTTTCTGTCAGCTCAATAAAAAGCTGCTACAATCACAATGTGACAAATATGCTTATAGCCAACAGATTTCTAAAATGTAATTCCCTCAACAATTTTTTTTTTTATAAAACCATAAAGTAAAATTTTTTTCAAAACCATAAAGTAACATTTGTCTCCTCGGGGAAATTCATATCTTACTATATTGTATTTTAGATGTTAATATTATAAGGCACTGAGAGTTTAATGCAGTAACAAAAAGTTTCTTTGAATAAGATTAAAAAAGATTATTTACTATCTGAAGTACTGAAAATCCTGACACTAGTGTTTGATGAGATAAGAGCGCCCTCTGTTGTGCTTTCGCAGGTATGACCGTTGCAATGCACCAAGTTTGTTTTTGTCTTCAGAACCTTGTTCATTTTGACCTCAGTTTCTGTCAGGACACGTTATAGTGTTGCACCCTAATAAGATATATCGGAAAAGGGTCTGACCATAATGGTCAGAGACCATAGTTTAAGAAAATCAAAGTTTAAACGTGTGAGCGTTGCCTTCAGAGGTTCTTTGCAATGGCGCTAAAATATGGAAGGGCTTTGGGAAAAATTGTCGCAGCGAACTGTCAATGCAGAATATTGACTCAGCAAAGGTGCACGACTTTGAAAACAATAAGAACCTACAGCGCTTCAACGGGAGACGAAGAACCGACGGGTGAGCGTGTAATGCTTAATGAAGACTGTAGGTGGCAGCAGAGGCCGCATAGACGTGATCGTAGAAGAAGGCTCTGGCACACCTGTAGCTCATTTCTCATTAAAGGAAAGGAAGAAAAACCTTTGAATTCAGGAGAAACATTTAAACTCAGACAAAAAGGAAATGTCATGCATATTTCACTTTGTCATGAAGTAAATATATGCTAACTTAGAAGTGATTCTTAAAGGACCGCTTTCTTGTTTATTTTATTTTGAAAAGCAAGCTGTCATTAGAGAGACTAGTAACTGGGAAATATTTTATTTATTTCCTAATAGTTGTTGCAGTTTGTACAGTCTAGATAAAAATTTAACAATCAAAAATACTGATCTAAATATAAGAATATTAGAAACTTGCCATTAATAACTGGCGTTGCTGTACAGATAAACAGAAATAAAAAAACCATTGTCATAATTTGAAACGGGGGAGGATCTAGGATTCTCGGAGATCAGGGGCTTAGTCCCGAGGGTGACAATGAGAGAGTAGACTTTCTTCTAAATCCCGTTCTAATGTAAAATATGACAGATTACTGGATTAAAGAAATTTCTACTATACTACATGCTATCACACATAACAATTCCCCCTCCATTACATGGGAAGAAATGAATTCACCTGCAAGTCTTAACTGTGTTTATCCCTCTCTTCATCAACAACTAACTCTGTGGATTTAGTGACATTTGATCATTATTTGCCAAAGTTATCAGAGGGAAATAATATATTTTAGCCACCTGATATAATCTGTTTCCCCATAACATGGGAAAAAAATAAACAAATCTTTTGAAACTGTCATTATTTTTCATATATTGTGTTTAAAACATTTATTATTTTATATTTTAAAATCCAAAATGGTTTGATTATCTTTATTTAATGTATTTTAATTCTCAATTCCAAATGTCTGCAGTAGCATTGCTCCAGACATTTTGAATTGAGAAACATCTTCAAACTTGGAAAACAAATCCAGTGGTTTTGGTTTGAACTTTTTTTTGGAATATATGTGAATTGTTAGATAAAAATTTAAACAGAAAATATATTTCATAAAGATCATCAAAGGGGGGACTGATTATATCAGGTGGCTAAAATGTACAATTCCCCTCTCATAACTTTGGCAAATAATTATCAAATGTCACCAAATCTAGAGGAATATGAATAAATGAATAAACACAGTTAAAAGTCCTGCAGGTAAATTAATTTCTTCCCATGTTATGGAGGAGGAACAGATTATTTCAGGCAGCTGAAACATCAAGTCTCTCCTCCTCCCATATCTTTGGGAAGTAAAAAGCATCTGTTTCCAGATTCTCAAAAATTGTTTGTGTGATATCATGTAGTATACTAGGAATGTACTTAATCCAGTAATCTGTCATATTTTACATTAGAAGGGGATAAATCAGAAAGTCTAAACTCTCATCTTTTCAGGAGCTCTTAATATTTGTGTCCTGCTATCAGCCGGTTTCCGTCCTCTGATATCAGCAATGAAAAATGATAAATACTCACTACTTGTTGGAAAACTGTGTTTGGTGACTGACTTTTATTTCTGTCAGGTTTAAGTGACAGAAGTTGGAAAAATAACACAAAATAGCTTAAAATGACCTCGTCTATTTATTTATTTTACAATTTTGTAAACAACAGCTGCTGATTAAACTGGATGTTAATGAATGATGTTAATCAATGCGCTCCCGACACAAGGGGAACAGAATTCCATAGAACACCGGGACAAACAACGTTTGGAAGTCAGTCAGACTTCACATCCCTGGAACATCAGTCTGTTTAGCAACAGCCATTGATGAGAACTTCTTCTTCTGCACGGGAATGCTACAGGCTGCTTTGCTGTGCATGCTGCCACCATCTGGTGAATTCCAGTACTGCACATTTTACTCAGATCAGCTCAGAAGCGAGATCCGGGGCTCTGGGGGAAACATCCTGGGCTGCAGCCCAAGTAGCCGCCCCCTAGATCCGCCACTGATTTGAAAGGTTAATTCTGGAATAATTGATGTTGCAATTGTAGTAATCTCAGTATTAATCCTCGTTTTTACATTATTTAAATACATTTAAACTCAGAGAGTCTTAAAGGTGAGATATATTTGAATTCTGAATAGTACTGATTAATTCCTAAAACTCGTTGTATTGATAATTTCTACTCTGAATAGTTAAAGAATAATGAACTCAGTGAAAAAGTTTGAATTCACATAGCTCTGATAAGTAAAATAAAAAGTTGGTCATTATTTCAATTAGATGAAATTAAACTTTTTTTGAAGGTGATGAGGATTCCATCAACCGACACTTGGGGAAGTTGTGAAGAAGACGTTCATATTTCTACAATTTTTGTTAAATAATCTCAATCTCAATCTCAACACTGAGAAAAAAAATCATAGTTTCTGGAAGAGTTTCAGATTGGGGAAAGAGTTTAGATGTCGATCTTGCTCTTTTAATGTGCTTATAATGGAGTGAGGTGTGTTGAAGCAGAAATGCATCAGAAAGTTGCAGGACTCCAGTCTAAGAGGATTGAAGACCCCTGATTTAGAGTAACCAGTTAACCTGTCAGTCATATTTATGAGCTGTGAGAGGAACCTGGAGTACCCAGAGAACCCACTTATGCAGGTGGAGAACATGCAAACTCCAAGCAGAAAGTCCCCATAAAAATGTTGCTAAGGAACATGTTGATCAGTTTGTTGTTACCAGAAATATTTTGACCAATTGATTCTATATATAAATTGAAAAAAAGTTTCACTGTCTGAAAAAAAACCCCTTTTTTAAAATTATTTCTTCAGAACTGATTCCATATTTTAATGGAGCTGCTAACTTTCCAGCAGCTGCCCAACCCGTTTGGTCACTTCATTTTACATTTCCCACTAATTATTAGTTGAATATGTAATTCTTTTGATCTTTTATTCACTTTTATGGCGCATTTAACCAAGTGTTTCCTGGTGTTTCAGCCACTAAAGTTCCTGAAATAAAAACTGCAAACACTGAAGCAGTTCAGATGTGGTTCATTTACTCAGACCTCGGTGTAATTACTGTCTTTGTTTAAGGTTTCGTCGAGTAGAAAGGTTCCCTGAGATAAATTAGCTTTTGCTTTTCATTCTCCGTTGGGTTGGGTTGAGCAGTCTGTGTCAGTAGCTTCTGTTTCTCCTCTGGACACAGTAAGCTGTGGGTGTGGATTCCCAGGGATGAACCTAAACAATGTCCGGTCAGCTGCCTGCCTCAACCTCAAGCCACAGTTTGGTGTTGCACATAAACACACTGAGGCAGAGAGCCCAGGTCTTCACTTTGACTCTGCAGAGCTTCTCTTCCACACTCTCATCCTTCCTTCAACTCAAACCACATAAACCAGTGATGCGCCATCACTGAAAGGGTCAGGCGTCAAGTCTCTGTGCAGCTTCTCTCTCAGTGTTGTCTGTCTTTAGCTGCAGGTCAAACCGTGGTCTCAGAGCGAAGGGGAGCCGTGGTCACCGTGGCGATAAACCGACCAGAGGTGCGTAACGCGGTGAACCAGGAGACAGCGAGGCGTCTGCTGGAGGA